GACTGTGCTGTTATTTTACAAAGTTTGGATCTGTAATTAATGTCGGCAGACACCCAAAACAATAATATCAATATTGTGTTGAAGCTAAAAGTTGGATCATTGCATCACAAGAAATAATCTTTATCAAAAATATCTTCAGTAGACTTAGTTTATGAAGTATTTGTTTTGAATAGCACTATGTAAATTAGTATACTCACTTACTTATTCACTGATTGTTTACTTGTTACCTTTATTACATGGTGACAGTGTGAGACGGCAGGTGAATTTCAAACTGCAGCATGTATTTGATGTGGTCATGTGGTTTGTTCATCAACAGTACCGCACGGCTATCAGTTTGCTCGTTGTAGTGATTTATTCAAATTGAATGACTCACTGCAGTAAAATCTAACTATTTCCCAAATGCTGCTTAATTTTGGAGAGAGAAGAGAGAGAAGGTTCTACTCCGGCTTCCTCCCACAGTCCAAAGACATGCAGTTAGTGGGGATAGGGTAATTGGTTACTCTAAATTGCCCATAGGTGTGAATGTGAGTGTGAATGGTTGCCTGTCTCTATGTATTAGCCCTGCGGCAGACTGGCGACCTGTCCAGGGCGTACTCTGCCTAATCGCCCTAAGACAGCTGGGATAGGCTATAGCCCCCTCGCAACTCTGACAAGGATAAGTGGAAGAGAATGGATGGATGGATGTTTAATTTTGGACACCGAAACCAAATGTTGATTGTCCAAATTATTGGTCCGTCCCCTGAGCAATCCCACCCAATTCTTCCCAGGTGAATCTCTCAAGGTCTTTCAGAGTTGATGATCTTCTGGCGTGAAATCCTGGTCCTCAGTTCACTTCACAGAATTTCATTGTGATTTAAGTGAGGGCTCCGTGCAGGTCAGTCATGTTTGGTCTTTTGGAGGTAGTTCTTCACCAGGAATGACGTGTGTTTTGGTTCGCTGTAGTGTTGGGAGACTCAGGATGACCTGGATCCAGTGTTGTTGCTGACTGCTTGAGGTTTACTTTTATCTTCCCATATCCTTCTTCCTTTGGTGATTCCTTCCATCTTGACGAGATTCCCAGTTCCAGACGTCATGAAGCATAATACTCCCACCACCATGTTTTACGAGGCGGTGTTTTCTGGGTTGTATGCCTCTCCCGTGTCTCTCCAAACAGCATCTCTGTGGCTATAGAGTTTTAGTTTAGTCTCATCTATTCTAAGGATGCACTTCCCTCACCATACCTCACTGTGGCCTGAAGTCATGTCTTCTGCAGAAGAGGAGTTTTTCTTGTTCCACAGCCCGGCAGTCCATTCCTGTGCAGACTTCTGGGCCTGTCATCTTTGAGACTACAGTTCTAGACTTGGATAAGCCATTCATTCGTGTCTTGGCAGTTGTTCAGTGGTCATTAGACACACCTCTCACTAATTTATTTTTAAAGTCTTTTGCTTTCTACCACTGTCAGATTTGTTCTGGACGGTGGTGCTCTCTTTATAATTCTTGATAATACTTCAGTCCTGTTGATGACACTGTGACATCTGAAAAGCTGTAATAAATTTATATATCCATGTCCTGCTTTATGAGCATCAAAACTGATTTCTTTAGTTTTTAGCTTGATCCCTTCTTAAGTGACAACTCAAAGCCTAACCCAATTTATTTATAGTGTGTAAATTAGAAGATAAACCTCACTTTTGGTGCGATTTTACAAGCTTTGAACAAGTTAAAGCAGGTCATTGCACAGGAGTGGTTTGTGCTATGGGTCACTGAAAAGTATCAGATTTTCAGTAAGCTAATAATATTGACCCCGCGTTTTTTTTCCTTAATTAATTCTGAATAATGAATGATTTGTAAAGAAAACTAAACTAATATGTTTAAAAATTCAAGGTTCTACTGTTAAAAAATCCTTTTGTCCTTATTTTAACTGAACATATTCAGCAATAAGTGTACAATGAAAATGATTGTTAGGTAATTCATAGTTTAGGGTCATATGTTAAATGGTTTAAAAAGTAAAAACAAATATATTAAAAATGTAAAAAATCCAATGATCCATGATATTTCCATTTCTGCACATATATGCTCTGGAAATTGAATCACAACTTCCAGGCAGAGGGATAAATTGTTAAAACACACTTTCTCTTCACTTATCAAATCATTTGCTTAACACAAGCAGGTTGGAAACAGGCTGGAAAAGTAGTTCATGATGGTTCTTAAATGATATTTTATGCACCGACAGTGGGAAAAAGGTTTGTAACAATCTGTTGCCAGATTGGGAGGTTATTTAAATCTCTGGCCTAAAAGGATTGTCCTGGTAGATTTTGGCAATTAAAAACCGTGACGGTGATTAAAAAGAGAAGTGCCAGAAATCCCACCTACAGTTCTTCCTATTAGCTGTATTTTTCTTGGTTTGATAGTGGGAAGTGCTTTTGTGGGTATGTGATTGGCACACACACACAAACACACACAAATATATATAAAACTGTTTGATGTATACAGGCCTGAAACAGAAAAACCGATAGCCAGAAAGAGATCTTTTAGTAGCCTGAATCTTCTCCAGCTTTAATTACACTGTATTGATCAGAAGTAGGAGGAAGGAAAAGGAAGGGGAGATCGAGTGAAGAGAGGGAGACAGTTGGTGAAACTGTCTCTCTGGCTACGGCTGTAGTTACTGTAAAGCTTGTAAAAAAAGGAGGGGGGCAGGGTGTTTGAGCAATTACTCCAAAGTCATACAGTAGGTAATTAGAAAATTCCCCCTAACCCACCACAGTGTCTCTCTGCATACATCCATTTAGCTTAGCTGATACAATGAAACAGTGAGGGTGTCAAATTCATTTAAGTCACCAGCCAAAATGCATTGTTCACATCCATCTCGCAGCTTCATGCTTGGTTTGATTTGAAATTCTCAGCATTGATTTTTCGGTCCCTTGTGCCTTTGGTCTGTTTCTTTCTTGTAATCAGCTATAATAGAATGGTCATGCATGACACTCCTGGCTTCCCTGTACCAACTTTAGCTATATGTTAAAGATGCAAAGAGGACTGCTTCTGCAAAACTGCGCTTCTTCTCTCATTTTTAGGTTGACCTACTTTGGCAAAGAGCTTAGGTTCCTTCCTTTGTTTCTCGCACTGTTGTGGCAAGGGCAGAAAATCTGCAAACTCTCCTACTGTATTTTCCTCCACACCCACTCCTGCTTCTGATCCAGGCGGATGGTAGATGAGTCCAGCACAGTAAAATATGCCAGATTCAACCTCACTGCCCCAGCGAAAACTTTCCTGGCGCGTCTCACAGAACTGTATTCTGGGGGTTAAGGAGCTTATGTCTAGTATACGGTGCATGGAGAAAGGAGCTGAGCAGTGATTCGCCAT